AAAGGGCCCTAGATGGGATCTCATGGGCACAGAAGGTTGCGGCGGTGGAAAAGGTGTTTCGTGGCTCTCCCCGAAGGTTTCAGGGTATAAGAGTATATATAGGCAAAAGAAATAGGTCAGTGGAGCTGCGAGGGGCCCACGAGGGTGGGGGCGGTGGGGGCGCGCCCTCCTGCCTCGTGGCTTCCTCGCTGCTTCCTTTACGTCCATTCCAAGTCTTCTGGATTGCGTTTGTTCCAAAAACGATCCTCGCGAAGGTTTCATTCCGTTTGGATTCCGTTTGATATTCCTTTTATACGAAACACTGAAATAGGCAAAAAAACACCAATTTGCACTGGGCTTTCGGTTAATAGGTTAGTCCCAAAAATAATATAAAAAGATATAATAAAGCCCATGAAACATCCAAAACAGATAATATAATAGCATGGAACAATCAAAAATTATAAATACGTTGGAGACGTAACATGGTCCAACTTTTTGATGTGCCCCGAGCAACGAAACAGGCTAAAAACTACCCGCGCGGGCCTTGCTACCAAACATGTCCTTGGCAATGGAGAAGAACTGAGCAAAATTAGGCATGGAGCATTGCTCAACAAAATAAAATTCCAGCAACCTATCATTGCATGCTAGTTGCATGTTGAAAGTAGTCGTGCTCACATAGCCTTAAACGCAGCTAGCATGACCTCCACCTACAAATGGAACCGCCACCAAGAGCAAGTTGTGAGCGTGATTCTTCTATTGCTCCTCCAAAGATAGAAACAATTCCCATGGACGACACTGTTTTATCAACACTGAATCCTGTTAGGAGTCAAGACATATGTTTCTTCCAGAATACCGCTCACCACCACACAACTAAACCACCGAGAGAAAGGACCAAACCACACTGGTTACCGCAGAGGCGGAGACGGACGAGGAGCACATGGTAACGCACCCCCCATGAAATCAAAGCCACTCATGGTTAGTTTGGGGATCGGCGTAGGTTTTCATTTAATTGGCAGCAAAATCCCAATACCACGTGCTTGCGTATATGCCAACATTAAAGAGTTGCCATACTCATTTAGTTCAAGGTAGTGTGTAAGAGAAACATACTAGAAAAGATTTCAACAGAGCATTGAATGCAAAGACTTAGGGTACACGTCCATTTAATAAAAATAACTAGGATGAACCACTGTAAAATGTAAAGATGGAAATTGTCTTTTTTATTGAAAACCCAGGAACAACATGAAGATACATATAGGGTGTGGATCAATGATCATTACCGACTAAATTTGTAGCAGAAGTAGATGATTCGATTTAGATTGCACTTGGAGTCCCTCAAACCACTGATGACGATCCTGTGAACCGCCCTCGAACGACCCCTCGAACGGAAGACCGAAAGCACGACCTCTCTACTTGGTTGCAAGCGTAAAGTCTTCACAATCCGGCAGTGCTTCGCCATCCAAAGCTAATCGTCGCCAGAGAATTAGAGGGGAGGGTATTAGAACCACACTGGGCTTCTAATTATGAGGATTATATGAACTAGGTCTAGCTCTAATTAGTCAACTAGGACCAACTAGAACTAGAACTAGATGAACTAGAGGAGGCTCCAAAACTTGTGTATCCATAGGGCCAAAGTCCTCAAGTATATATAGGTTGAAGGGAGGAGGAGAGGGGGAAGCCACAAGATACGAAAAACTCTCCCTTTGGGCGGACAAGGAGGGGGAATTCCCCTCCAATTCGGCCTCCCCTTTTTTCTACAAGGAGGAAGGGGACGCCTCCACCTCTTTGGGCCCAAGTAGCCCGAGTAGCTCACCACCTCTTGCCTTTTAAGGCCCGTTGATATTAAATTAAATATAAAAGTCTCATAACTATTATTAGAGCCTTTTGTTATTGATTTAACATCTCTGTAAACATTTTTCACCTATATATTATTTATCGGTAATACCTGGTATTGCCCAATAAATTCCAAAACCCTTCCGGTGACCCCGAAACGCTTCCGGTTCCTCTCGAAACTATTCCGAATATTAATGAAACAATTTCACAAATAAATACTCAATACTCTCGTCCTACTAACACTTAGCAGATCATGGTTACCTTAAGCTTGTGACCCAGTAGGTTCGGTAAAACATAGACATGAACGAAACCCCTTCATTCAATGACCGACAGCAGAACCGTGGACGTCCATATCGATCCCTATGATTACACGAGTGACACTCGAGTGAACTTTTGGTTATCATGTGATGTTCCCTTTTTTGTGATATTTTACTAAACCCTAGGAGCGTCAGTATCCTCCTCAGTCATCCACATGCTCACTATATTGTTGATCCCATTGTCGGTTCTGTTCTTTCTCGTTGAAGTGTTCTGACATCCCCATGACGTAGTCACCTGTGTCTGGCCAGGCGATGGTGGATGCCGTCACACCGAGAGGGCCCTAAGAATATCTCTCCATTGTCGGGGGAGCAAATCCCACTCTCGAGCTATCTAGTCTCTTGTCAAACTTTCCGATGAACCTGGAAGTTGTCATTATAATCACCTAGTTACAGATGATGTTTGAGCAACCCTAAAGTCCATCGTACGGTAGGAAGTGACTACGATACTCCAAAACACATGTTAACACTCTATGTTTTAACAATATATTTTAGACGATATTATCTCAAAATTTAACAAACAAATTTGGATCGATTCAATCTGATCGGTCTTCCAACGTCATATTCTCAGTGTTGTTTTAGGATTATTCTTACACTTAACGATATCCTAAGATCCGGAAAATATGATCACCTACAACACTTGAGCTAGTCTCAGAGGCGAGACTAGGAACCTAATTTTACCATTTATCATTCCACACATGAGATTTCCATTGAATCACATATTTCAGAATCATAGCAGTTATAGCATGGAATATAAACTTTTAATTATGACCATGTAAATATAATGATACAATGTTATTGCAACAGACACATAGTAGCAAAGCATTTAATATGACATGGTATCTATCTATGTTACTCCAATCCTCTCTCTCTCCTCTTTAATTGTATGCCACATCAGCATGTTTGCTAGTCCTGAGTACATGATACCGTCTAAGATACCACCACTATGGCCAGCCTTAGGCCAACAACGTCACTGCCCGCACTAGATGTTCTGAACAAAAGTTACCCCTGGTTGTTGGGAAATGGAGTTAGAACGATGTGTGTATGGTGGTGCACGACATGTCAGAACCGGAACACACCTTATACTTCATTTGATAAGGAAACTGTTGGATAACTGTACCTGGCAAAATTCATCCAATACATGTGACCGTAATATAGTGGTTGGGATCATGAGGCAATTCAATGGGTGAGATTCCAGTGGGCATAGTCGTCATGTGCTCCTAGGCATTTTTGCCACAGAGGCCGCCTAATATGCACCCAACAATGACTAACACATGAAATATCTTACACATGCCCAAAAGTATAAAAGAAAATCAGTTCCATATGAGGGGTGAGGGGTTGTAAACACTCTAAGAGCAACTCTAGCAGAGTCATCATATAGGCGGCCTCCATATGCACATGGAGCATCGAGTTGATGCGCAAACTTGCAGTCTCCATATTTGCTGCCTTCATGATAGTGGGACCCACTCACCAGTGGGGCATCTTTTTCTCAATCTCCCAACCATCCCACATGAGGTGGAGGGCTACCTGAAATTTTCTCTGTGCCGCATGCAACTACCATCTGAGTGCGCTCCAAAAGGCAACCCCAAATTCCCAAATACGAAGATTGTGAGGCCAAATATAAAGGGCACTCCATAAATTATGGCGATTCGAAAAAAGCTGCTAGAGTGTTTTTTTGTTGTAAAAAACCGCCATATTGATAGTTATTATGGCGATTTGGCCAGACAACTCTGCTAGAGTTTTTTTCTTTGAGGGTATAACTCTCTAATAAATACAATAACAATATAACAAATGGAGACCTCAACTTTTTCCGAGCTAGTTTCTTAATTAGTGGTAGATATTTGGCCCAACGTAGTCGTTAATCCCAAGATCTGCTTTGTAACAGGGCCTCCTCATCACTCTGCATCGTTCGGCCATGTACTCGGGTTTATTGTTTTATCTATAAAAGCAGGGTGAAAGCCTTTTCTTAGAGAGAGAGAGGGAGAGAGAGAGAGAGAGGAGATTTAACCCAAAAAAGGATCCTCCAAAAGAAATTCTTGTGTTTTATATATTTAACACAAGATTTTACCCAAAATCAAGGGAGTAGAAAAGATATGAAGTGATCCACACAAGTGGGTCTCTCGATTCTACCGAGACGATCAATCTCCTAGCTCATAATTCAGGCAATGGCTGAATGGCAGCAGCCACTCCACCTAGCCCGAATTTAATTGGACCGCTAGCTTCCGTTTGACTAACCATTTCCACCGAGCATGAGGGAGACAAGGGACACATGCACTGTTGAATACGTACTTGTCATGCAAGACATCATTTGCTCCACAAATTAAGCCACACAGGTACTCCCTCTGATTAAACAAGTCTGTTCACAATGTGAATTTGCCGACGATGCAAGCTAGATAATACGCCATGTCCTCTAATTAGTTCCAGAGCTTGCATGGTCATTCCTTCTACACCGAATAATTTGCGGTAAGATGGGATTACAGCAGTAGAATCAAGTCTTGCAAGCAATATCTCACCGGCGTGCGGTTATATGTAGAATTGTAGATATATACTCCTAGATTTGGATGGGCAGCTTCAATATAATGTTCTATAGGGGAGCTTGCACAAAATACTGATGAGAATATGTCAATATTACACGATCGATATAATCAAATATTTTCCAATATTTTCAACATCTATCTCACAAGTATACCGACCCTTAATTTCTTCACATATGAGTACTTCATTACCGCCTCACTCCTCTCTTCAGAACATACATTATATCTATGTATGTATATATAATAATTCTTCCAAACCAAATTGAAAGAAAGTAAAAAGGGACAAACTGACAAAAAATAACAGCAAATTAGCCAAAAAAAATCATTGTAACTGTATATATAATTACGGCATGTAGAGAGCTTCCAATCCTTGGCAATCCGCGCTCCAGTCATGATCGGCAGCAAGGATTCCGTCATGGAGGCTGAGGGTGTCGTCAGGGAACGAATCAAGCGAGTCGTACTTGGGCTCCTCCCATGTCGACAAGCTCGGAACGATCGAGCACCACGACGAGAGGTTAGCGGCGGCACCGTCCGTGGGCAACCCCAACGAGTCGAAACAGCTCTGATCCATGGCGAAGTTGAGCTCGCCGAGCGCAGCTTGCACGCTCTCGTCGGTGCACAGCATGGTGGTTGCGGTAGCTGGGCTGGCCGTACAAGTTGGGTCGGCGCTGCTCACCGGTCGGGACCATTCGAGGAACCCGTCCGGGCTCGCGTCGAACTGCGCGGGCGCCAGAACGCCGGCGGGGCTCATGTCGCTGGAGGCGCTGAACGTGTCGAACGTCTCGTCGACGTGCCCACCGGCCGACTCCGGCGTGACGGAGCCGACAAGGCTACCGTCGCCGGCCGGTTGCTGGTTGTTCAGAAACTTGGAGTAGAGCATTGCGAGGTCGATGGACGAGCCGTCGGGCGCGGTGGGCACGTCGTGCATCACCTGGCCAGGGTTCGCCGGGTTGCCGACCATGCCTTCCAGGACCATGTCCGGCCGGAGCGGGCCGGGGAACCCTCCATGGCCGAACGTGGCGTCGCGGACGCCGGAGAAAGAGTCGGACGCCGACCTCACGGACGACTTCCCCCGGCGGTTCTTCCGGCATCCGCCGCCGACGGGCACGTTCCGGAGAGACCCACCCTTGGTCCAGTACCGGCGGCAGCCCTTGCAGAAGTAGCGCGGCTGGCTGAGGCTGTAGTTGTTGTAGTAGCAGAACTTGGTGTTGGGCGAGTCGCAGCGCGGGCAGTTGGGCGCCACCTCGGCGCCGGTGCTGTAGCGGCGGTCCACCAGCAGCGACGGCGGCCGCGGCACGTACGGCAGCATGGCCGCCTCGTGCGGGTGCGACGACAACATCCTCGTTCACAGATCCTTCTTCTGCAGCGATCGATCAGACTACGGCCAGCCGGGGAGCTATGCGGGCGATGTGAGAGGGATTGACCTGATCGGAGGACACGGTGGCCGGAGAAGAGATGGTGACTTGATCGGTGGGGGTGGGGGAGGAGGCCGGCGAGAGGGCAGTGGAGGGAGTGGCGGGGTTCTTATATGGATCGGCGGGGTGGGAGCTAATTACGCGGTGTGCATGTGCATGTGAGTTTGCGTTGCTTAGATTTGGGCCGAGATGCAGTGTGGTATAGTGCAAATTCTCCGAGCTTTGATTTAGGGTTAAAGGAAATAGGCAGCTCCTAGTTAACCACCCCCAACAAACTGTGGCAGTGCAGTGGTGCAGCAGCAGGTGCCCTTTAGTGGCTACAGTACAGGCCTTGTTATCGCACGATGATGGACGCATCAACCACTGTTCAACGATCGATCAAAGGACGCTGCTGCTGCTGCAGGCTTTCACTGTTTCATGTAAAAATGTTGTACTCCAGACCGTGAATTTCTTGTTTCAGTCTAGTGGCTCGTGGTTACTACGGCGTGGTCGGTGTGGGAGTCTGGGAGAGCCGTATGAAGCTAGGGATCGATCGACGGAGGCCTGCCAGCGCGCGCACGGGCGTGGTGGGAGCGGCCGCTCCGTAGGCTGCCGGGGTAGGCCGTGCCGGCGGCAACCTCGGTGGGATACGTGGCGGCGCTCCACTGGCCGGCCACGTGAAACCCCAGGGTCCCCCCCGGAGAGCGGTGGGGTGCGAGGGACGCAAATCCCTCGGGATCGCCCATACGACTTTGTTACTGGCTGTCGCCCCGCTCGATGCGTCGGATGCATGGCCGCCCTTCGACGGGTACGCTGTGGGGAGGGCGGGATTTGCTCACACGGTTAAGCTCTCGGGACGCAACATGCACGCGCCGGCGCCAGCGGGAGACGATGATGTGCGATTCGGTGGGCTGGCTATGGCTAGCTAGCTACTATGCTGGGGACGTGTGCCTCGATCGATCATCCGGCCGGGCGGCGTCGTCGTCGTCTAGCTTCAACGTAGATGCTGGAAGGGACCAGAACGAATTCGACCAATCAAGCGGCCGGCCGGGCTCCTATGGCGAGTGAAGAAATGCATGTTTGATTTATTTTTCTAATTTATTCAGCAATGAACGTACATGGAGTCTTTTTTTTTGCATGAAACGTACATGGAGTCTGATCGATTGATATCCTGGACGCAGCAGCGGCTGCCGGTATTAACAGGACAGTACACCAGTCCGTCCAGATCTGCCGGTCGACGACGTACAATCATGCCATGCGATCCAGCGCAGCGCGCGTGGCGGGGCCAGCCGATCTCCAATCGTAACCTGATACCGTGACCACAGCAGGCGGGGACTGGACTGGGAGCCAGGCGATCGATGTGCGTACGTACTCATGTCATGTAGCAGTACGTACGCATACGAGCACGCAATAGTTGTACTGCACAGCGACGATCGACATGACCAGCCGTGTGCCGGCCCGGTCCGAGCCCGGCCATCAATAGCCGGCCCATACGGGCACGGCGCCCTTGTACGTACCCGCCCACGGCCCTGCTACGCGCGCGGTTCGGTGCACCCGACCCGATCGCGTCCCGTCTTTCCCGCGCACGTACCCCCCGGTACGGTGGGGCCGGCCATCGGCCTGCCGAGACGCGAGGCCAAGACGCGCGTACGGTACGGCTCTCTGAGTCTCGGCTCTCTGACTGACATGCCACTCCTTCGTCCATCCAGCTCCTACTGCTCTCGAGCGCCATCGATGGCGACGGCGCGTACATGCTCCAACCCGGAGCACTGCGCCATCTTTGATGTGCGTCCGCACGCACGTACGCACGGCCCATCCATCATCGACCGTCGCCATGTCGTCCATGCATGTGGCCCGGCGAGGTACGTACGTAGTACCGCGGTACTGGGCTACCCACCCGCCAGGGGCACGCGCGTGTCTCGCTGGCCTTAACCACATGCAATCAAGCTTAACCGAACCATCAAGTCGGAAGGAAAAACTTAACCGGGCCATCAACCGCAGATTTGACTTTGCGTGCTCCGTCCCCTGCCACAGTGCCGGATGAAGAGCACTGACACGACAGTGACAGGAGGGACATGTTAGGGGTCTTACTGGCGAGCTGATCTAATTACCCACTCCAGCTCCTCGTTTGGGTGTTACTTAGGTCGTCCTGCCGCGCTGTCCAGTCGTAACCCGCAAGCACGCGACCTGAATGCGGTGAATCCGTCCGGCGCGTCCACGGATCATCGATCGACAGAAATGGGATTGCTTGCACGGGCTCCCCGGGGCGTGCTATGATTGGGGGGCGCGTACTGTTAGGGTGCTGTGCTTCGTGTGTACTGTCGACGCCGCTCATCGACTGAACGGACCTGACGGGCTAGCCTTTGTAATGATTGTATATCCGTATCTGTATTTTGGGGATTGTGGCACGGCACCGTGGGCCTGACGATCGAGGATGAGCGGTACGAGTACGACCCAACCGGCTCAGGTATCGTGGGCCTCCAGAGACTTGACAGTATTTATATCCTGTTTGTTGCTCCGTTTTATATATCTCAGAAAAATAGATTCAAGAAAAATCTCAGAGAAATAACTTGTTTCTCCGTTTCGGAAGGAGTTCGCGTGCGGAAAAGAAGAGGTCCACTGTCCCTGTATACCATCTAGCGAAACCACACTCAAGGGAACGGTCTTAGCGGAATCGGCGAGAAAGAAAACCCTAATGTTCTAGTACAACTCCCCCGCTAACTTATTATTTATCTAAACATTCAAGCATGCCACATCAGCATACAGTTATGGTTGGGATAAGGTCCACCTTCATATGCAACCATGCATGGGAAAAGACCCACCACCACATACAGCCATGCATGGAAAAATATTTGTCGTCTTATTATTCTACTTATATTCAATAAATATTTTACAACTATACATAATCAAATATAATAAGTTGTATGTATTTTTAATTTTGGTTCACGTGTTATTAATCTAAATTTTCATATTCCACATAACCAAATATCATTGAAATATATTGCAACCGTTTCCCACACCAACGCGTGGGGTATTATCTAGTATGAATTTTCAAAAATAAGTATACTAAAACGATAAAAGACGAGGCCCTCTAACAATATTTGCACTTCTTCCAGCACTACAATTTCATGATGAGAATGAGTGCATTATTCGCTCACAAAAATGTGTGCACCAGAAAAAAGACGATGATACATAGAATTTCAAGCCATCTGACTGACTATGAATGTGGACATCTCAAACTGCAAATACCTTCCCGATATATTTGAGTTAGGCAGGTTAAAATAACCTAACATTGTATCATTCCCTACAAAAACTAGGATTAAGTAACCATGGATCAAAATTTCAGTGTTTTGGTAATTTTGGTGGGTGTCAAACTATTTTTAACCTTGAAAATTTCAGGACATATTCAAACTAATTTCAAAATAAAATAAAATAAAGTCAAAATTCATCCAATTTAGGTGAATATCTATAGATCAAATTCCAAAATAATTTCCGTAATTTTTTATATTTCTGTAACAATTTTTCTTGTAATTTTAAACCTAGGAGATATCCAACAAAATGGCCCAGTAAGCTAAGTTTACTAAAGTTATCATTCTAACTTGAGCTCTCTTACCCCTGCAAAAAAGTAAGCTCTGTACTGCTAGTTCATACAATCTACCTGAATGGTGATTTAGGATAATTAGGATTAGCACACAAACACAGGTTTCCCCAAAAAAGAACATTGGGAGGGCAAGGGGTTATTACAATGCACTAAGAAAGAGCGAAGTTGCCCGAAAATACCCAATTGAAACTGGGTCTATATGCACACACTAATTAAGAAAAATATATATAAATGCCACATAATTCTGAAACTTCTTGGTAACGAATATGCTCTAATGTTATACTCACGTGTAACGTTTTGCAAAGAAATTACTTCTATGTGGTCTTCTATGCGAGAAAAAAAATTGATTATATATAGAAGTTACTATTCAAGTTTTTCGAAATTACTTCCCAGAAGAACACCGAAGTCATTTGTTTCATGAAACTTCACACGTGAGTAGAACACTCGATCATGTTCGCCACAAAAATCTTATCCATTGCCGATTCACACTTCGTGTGCGGAACCATATTCTTCCGTGGTCTGGCATGCACCATATCAACACGGCCATTTGGACAGCGAGGGTCTCAATGAGAGATTGGTGGGCCGGCAACATACACATTCTGTATGGATCTACCAAGGCGCTGGCCTCTTTGATGATGCTCACATCATGGGAGATTTAGTCAAAACGCAATGCTAGAGTCTTCCGTAACACGGTCGTCCCTTCGATGGTTCTCATTACCAAGATTAAAGAGGAGGTATTTCTTTGGGCTTTGGCAGGTGCCAAGCATTTGGGTATTGTACTGCCACGACAGTAGTCCTTTTCTACTCTTGCTGTTACTCGGCTTTGTTCTAAAACTTCTTCCTTAATCAATGGAATGGCGAATCTTTTGCCATGTTCCAAAAAACATTTCAAAATTGTTTTTTAAATAAAAATAAATGCTATGAGGGCTGAACAGCGGAACGGATATCTTTAGCAAAGCAATTTTGATTAGTTGAATCGTATTGCGTTCCAGGTAGTAGAGTCCTCGGCCAATTCCAGGTGTCAGTAAAACACCGCCGTCTGTTCCTAAAACAAAAGCCCTTAGCGCCATGGGACGGGAGTGAACCGCTTGATAATCATTTATTGAATCAGTGTAATGACTCGACAAAATCGAGAGAAAAAAGTTGTCTTTTGGGTAAACAAAACTGGAAGGAAGAAAATTTCTCAATCCAACCTAAGCCACCTATTGCGCCTAATCTAACTATAGTGCCAGTGGTCGGCAAGGAGAAGTTCATTCCTATAAAGAAGAGAGGGGGTAAAGGTCATAATTCCAGAGGAATCATTACCGCAAGGCATAGAGAGGACGGTCATAAGCGCCTATACTG